GTTAGTCCCTCCGCTTGTTGAGGTCGTGGTCTTGCACACCCTCGATAAGCGGACCTGATTCGCTTCCGTTCAGGAGAAATTTGGTTGTGTCGACTAAGTTGGGTCGGTCGAGGTGGAGAGAACAGCGCAACAAGCGAAATTGTGGTTGGTGTGGTTGTCGTAGGGTGATGTCATGGCCACGCGCGTCATCATCACGCATCTTCCCGAGACAGCGTCTGTGTGTCTGCCGCTTTGGTTTTGGTGCCATTGACAATCCTTTGCTTCGATTCCCATGCCACCCAGTTTTATAAATAGATGGGGGTTTCATTTTTCGGAAGTTTTCACCATCCTTTATTTTGCATGAGTATGGTTTTTCTTTGATCTTCTTCCCCAATTTCTGCTCCTGATTTTGCTTCTCCGATTCCATTTCTCTCCTTCTTAACCAGTTGTATCTTCTTATTCGGGCTTGGTAGAATACGTTTCATTGTCAAAATTTGTCACAACCTCTTCACTTTCATGATGAAGTTTCCGATGCCACTCTGTTATTGGTGGCTCCTCCTCCCAGCGGTGAGAAATTTATGGCTGAAGAGGATGATAGCATCCCTACTACATAGGAGATAGTTCCCAGAAACCCTTTGTCTAGAAATAATTTTCCCAAGGAGCCTGCTCCCGCTCCCGCTCAGGTGCTCTCGGAGACTGGACCGCCTCATATAGCTGACCTTCGGTCCAAATATCGCATCCCTCCTCGTGTTGAGATAGTTCTAACTGATAGAGACATTGTGGAGGTCCATCGACCTAGGTATTGTGCCTTCTATGTCTACCCGTTCTTGATTGGTTATACTCTCCCTCTTCTTCCGCTAGCGAAGGAATTTTGCCGGTGTTACAACGTCTGCCCGGCGCAACTCTCCCCAAACTTGTATAAAGCTTTTTTGATGTTGACAAAGTACGCGGAGTTAGCTGGTTGTGAGGTTGATGTTCGCCACCTGCTGCACTTATTTTCACCAAGTTTTTATAGAGGTACTATGATACACCTACGGCATCGTGGGACCAGAGGGCTGGTAGTCGGAATGGATGACAGAATGAATCGGAAGTTCTGGCATAAGTATTTCTTTATCAAGACCGAGCACTTGGTAGTGGACCCGACTGGGTTTCCCGAGCAGTGGAATCATAATCGTAAGTGTCTTTATCGTACGCTTGTTATCTTCTATCGTCCTTTCATTTTCAGCTCACTTGTGGTTTCTTTATTTTTCAGCTGAAAGGTGTGCACCCTCTCATTTCTTCGACATTGAAGACTGGGTGGCTCGCGTGTTGCCTCACATGGTGGGATTCGTGATTGGGTGGCTTTCCACAAGCGTTTTGGACCTAAGGTCCCATCTAGTAAGTGTCATTTTTGCTTCAGCTTTCTGTTGTTTACCATTGCCCGTTGATACGACCACCTTTTGGTGTTAGGTCGACGAATTCCCAAGAAGAAGGCTCCAGTGCCAGCATTTTGCCCAGCTATCGCATCGGTTGGGATGCAGTTTGCTTTGGCTGAGTCCGTTCGTGGAGGTCGTACTCAAGCTCCGTTGATGAGGGATTCCTCCCCTCAGATTGTTGTTGTGCGAGATGAGATCTCTTCCTGGCATTTCTATCATCTTGTAGATGAGTCGTCTAATGGATAGGAGTCGCCATCGAGAAAAAGGCGAAGGATGGAACTCGGGAAGGACGTCATCACTGATATTGAATCGGAGAAGCTCATTGCTCCTGGAGCTACATCTGCACTTACACCAGACGCAGGGGCCATATTTACGGCGGATACCGTTGTGGAGAGGAGGCCCTCTGGGGCCGAGGGGGTGCATGATGGCAGGGAGCTTGTAAGGACCACAGAAGGTGGTGCGTCATCGGCGGCTGGGAGAGATAGAACGTTACCTGCGGGGGACGACGGTTCTGGCTCGGATATCGATCCTGAAGAGGTACGGGCCTTTTTGGAGAGTGGAGTAAGGACGGAGGGTCATAATCGACACGTAATCATTCATATGGGTTATGACCTTTTTGCTAACTCTGAACGGGCGGTGCCGTCCTTTGCCCCCTTATGCTCGGCTTCTGAGAACATGACTCTACAGGCGATGAGCGATGCGGAGTTATTGCTGAGTATATCTGGCATGGCTTTGCGAGTAAGTGCTTCTTAATGTTAGGATTTGTTTTGCATGTGTAATCCGCTCATACTGACTCCTTTCTTTTGCGTGTCAAACTCTTATCATGGGGATCAAGCGTGACCGGCGGGAGGAGCAGAGCAAGGCCATTTTTAAGAAGGTGACCTCTAAGTACAAAGAGTACCGTACTAAGCACCGAACGCTGGCCGACGTCTTTAACCAGGATAGCGTTTCAGTTGTTTCGTGACGGACTTAAATAGAAGGACGAGGAGTTGGTGAGGAAAGACAAAGACCTAAAGGAACGGGATGATGAGCTAATGAGAGCCATCGGTCGGTGCAGCGAGCTTGAGGCAGCTCTTAAGGCCAATGAGGATGAGCTCGAGGTGAGCAATGGGGTGATCGTTGAGAATGCCGATCTTCAAGCGCAGATGGCATCTTTAACTTCTAAACTTGGGCAGAGGGAGGCGGAAGTTGTTGATCTACGGGGCGAATTGAGCGCCAAGGTCGAAGAATTGACTTGTGCCGAGAGAGGCAAAGCGGCTGCTATGGCTGAAGCGGCAGCCTTAGAAGATGCCCTCCGCATTTGTAGGTTCGAGCGGGTGAATGAGGTGGAGACATCGGCACTCATGGTGGCGAGGTTAGAAGAGCGGATCCAGGATCTGGAGGCGGAGTTATCCGGATTGAACGAGCAGGTCGTTGCCTTGAAGGCCGAGGAGGTGCGAGGTAGTCACAGCCATCCACGTCTCATGCTTCTGCCGATCCCGGCGTGCCGCGGGAGTTATATGAGATGTGAGTTCACGCCGAGGCTCAACTCGACGTGTATAAGTCTTTGAAAGCCAACGGGTAAATTTCTGAAGCGGAACTCGAGGGCGTCCGTCTTAAGGCACGTGCTGCCCGTGAAGCTTGTGGTTACGCCCATAATATGCCTGATGGGGATGATGTTGATGATGATGCGGATAGGCTCGCCTCCAATTCTTGGTATGATGACGAGTATGCCGATGGGGATGACGCGGCGTAAAGCCGTCATACTTAGTTTTTGTTTTGTTTTGCTATTTTTGTGAGGGCGTCTTTGGGCCCTTTGTAAAAAGTATTGTAATTTGACAGTTGTAATGGAACAGCCCCCCTTTTTGCTACGTGTCTCTAAATTTCCGTTCTTTTTTCTTTTCGCTATGTGTGGAAGTCCCTGATTTTTTGATAAGGTCAATGTTCGATGCGGTCGAGCATTGAAAACTTCAAGCGAGGTCGAATGTTAAAGTAATTCGGGCGAGGTCGAATGTTAAGTAATTCGAGCGAGGTCAAATGTTAAGTAATTCGAGCGAAGTTGAATGTTAAGTAATTCGAGCGAAGTCGAATGTGAGTAATTCGAGCGAGGCGAATGTTAAGTAATTCGAGCGAGATCGAATGTTAAGTAATTCGAGCGAGGTCGAATGTGAGCAACTCGAGCGAGGTCGAATGTTAAGTAATTCGAGCGAGGTCGAATGTTAAGTAATTCGAGCGAGGTCGAATGTGAGTAATTCGAGCAAGGTCGAATGTTAAGTAATTTGTTACACCCCGTAAGTTTAACAACCTTGACACTGTTTTATATATATATATATATATATATATATATATATATATATATATATATATATATATATATATATATATATATATATATATGGTATATTGAGTGGAATATTTTTTGTCTTAATTTTTTAATTATGCACATAATATCTCAATATTAACATTTAAGTGCAAAGATTGGATCTCATCCTAACGGTGGTAACTTCCTGATATGAAAAAAAATTCATGTGTCACACATTTTTTAAAATTAATTGACGTCAAACCTCTAACAATGCAAACAATCCTCATGATATACTATTACACCTTAATTTTACTTTACAATATTTATGAAAATTGAATTTTAAAGTAAATTGAAATCTTATCTCAATTAAGTGATTTTCAACAACAAAAGCTATTAATTAATAAATACTTGAAAACCAGTAAAAAATTTCAGTCTTGAAAAAATATGATTTTATATAGTTTTTAGTATTACTACTTTCGAATATATTTTAAATTATATACATAATATAAGAAAGTTTATGAGATTTTCTTCATTGTAAAGATATGAATTATTATTATTTTTCACAAGAAAAGAAGGTTATCTTTTTTTTTTTTACCATTTTAAAAATTAAGTAGACGAAAATTTATACTCTTTATATGGGATTAAGAAAATTATAAGTTGAAGAAATATATGTATTTTTACATAGATGTTTTAATGAAATAATAGTGTATGAATTTATTTTACATGGTGCCACATGACCGTAATAGTATATATGATGTATAAAGTGTATTAAAATAAGTAGAATTTTAAGTAATTTGAGACAACTCTTAATTTTGCGAGTAATTGGTTAATTACCGGGTAACGGGACATTAGCTAATTACCTAATAAGTGGATAGAGATTAAAATCCCCACCCCACCCCCACGTGGAAAGCAAGCCACCCATATATACATACGACTCTTAGTCATATTGGGTGAGGTGGCAACTAATTTTAACAAGCCAAGGAGCTTCCCAACTCAAACAAAGACGATAAGAATGGCCAATCTATCTACCAAGGAAATAATAAACTTGTTGAGAGCAAAAATGAGAATGTGTTAGACAAAATTGTCTTGGCCACGGAGGCGGATCTAGAAATTCGGGACGATGGGTGCACCATTACTTTTAAGATTAACATTTAGTTTGATAATATAAAATTTTTCAATCACAACAACTTACCGAGCAAAAAAATAATTAGTTTCATTATCACAAAAACAAATATTATCAATTTACAATGGTACGCGACGAGTTTTCATACTTTGAAAACGATCAATAATAGCATCATTACTTACCGTTGCAAATACCTTATGCTCTATGCTAAACAACCATTCAAAAACTCTTCACTAATGCTATTACGTAGATCACTTTTTATGAGCTTCATTGAGGAGAATGCCCTTTCCATGCTTGCAGTAGCAACAGGTAGAATCAAAGTCAACTTCACAAGTAAATAAATATGACACCAAGTTTGATCCAATTTCGTCTCTGCCATCACTATAGCAAGACCCTTCATTCCTTTCAAGTTGATAAATTTGCTATGAGGCATTCGAGCATAGACAATGAAACTATCAAGCTGAAAGCTGAGATCTCGAAGCTTGTTGTCATCAAACTCACTTGGATAATACTCGGCCAACTTTATTATTCTGTCTTTGTCAAAATTAGCAAATGAATCAATCGGATTCAAAGAAGCCATACCAAGGAGTAAGTCACTAGTCACTACATCAAAACGACTATTTAACTCATGAAGCTGCAAATCAATAGCTGCATAAAATATTTCCACACTAAAGTGATGTGAATATGAAACTCCCGACCTCTTTCATTTCGATCTTGGATAGTCTTCATCCATTTTGGGGATCGTAATATCATGTTTACCACAGAACGAGTAAACTTCATTCATCAAGATCTCGAATTCACTTTCTCTCATAGTCTGCAATCTTATCTTTGCAAGGTCAAGCAACCTCATAGCATTGACTATGTCTTGATCTTTCTTTTGTAAAGCTTTGTTCAATTCATTTGTAAAAAGCAACATCTTGAACATCAAGTGCAATAAAAACACAAACTCAAATTCTTGAATATTACCCAAAAGATTTTTTGCTGCAAATCTATCAAGAGAAAGAAGACTATCTTGTTGCATATCTTTAAGCACGTTAACAATCGAAGAAAATATAATCAAGAAATTTTCCAAGGTCTTAAAATGCGAACCCCAACGGGTATCACCCGGTCATTGGAGCCCACGTTCTTGATTCAATCCTTGCCCGGTAAGTATTTCTCCAGACTTAAGTAATTCTTCCAACTTCTCTACTTGGTGTTGTCGAAGTATTTCCCTGCGTTTAAAAAATGCTCCAATAATATTCAATGTGTTAGTGACAACATCAAAAAAATTTTTCACATCCGGATGCTTTTTAGAAAGAGCTACAAGTGTTAATTGCAACTGATGGGCAAAACAATGAACACAATAGGCAGATGGAACATCTTGTAAAATCAAAGACTTTAGGCCATTTATTCTTCCTTGCATATTACTAGCTCCATCGTAACCTTGTCCACGTAGCTTGGATGAGCTTAACGAGTGATCCAAAAGCAAATCATAAATTGTTTTCTATAATGATAGTGCAGATGTATCATTCACATGGACAATACCCAAGAAGCGCTCAATCACCTCCCCTCTTTTGTTAACATATCGTATAACAAGGGCCATTTGCTCTTTATGTGAGATGTCCTTTGATTCATCAACCAATATCCCAAAAAAGTCATCATCCAAATCTTGGATAATAGCTTTAATTGTTTCTTTAGCACAAGCATCCACAATATCCTTTTGAATTGCTGGACAAATCATCATATCATTTTTTGGAGCTTTATGTAATATTACCTTTCCCACATCTGAATGCTTATCCCCATGAAATTCCAAAAGTTCAAGAAAAAGACCTTTGTATTCGGAATCTTCACTTTCATTATGACCACGAAATGACAATCCATTTCTCAAGAGAAATCTTACCACATCAACCGAGGCATTTAAACGTATCCGATGATCACTTTTTACTTTCTCACTTTGCTTGTGAAAAGAAGATTGAATCGATTGTTCTTGATTTATCAAATCTTGCATCCTATTAAAACATTTGTGATGGATACTATCTACTTCTCCGACATGCGTTCTAAGTCTTTCCGTACCCTTGTTCCAACCCTTAAACCCATCTTTTGTAAATGCATCTCCCGCATTACCGCGACTTTCAAGTTCATTCTTAAATAAATAACAACACAAACAGAATGCAGCATCACTTTTTATGTTATATTCCAACCATTGAGAATATGGACCCTTAAACCAATCGGGATTAAATTGACGCATTTTGTTCCCAAATTTAGTTTTAGGGAAAGCATGGCCACTCGGTTGACAAGCCCCTTTTTGAATATAATGTCTCCTCACTTCATCTCGGATATTAGGGGCATACTGAAGAATCGGTATTCTTTCTTTGGGATCAGGACTGGGAGATCCTAGCTCAAGAACACTATCAACATTTGAAGGAGGGGATAAGATTGTCCCTCTTTGGATTTCAGGAGCTATATTCGAACTAACAGAAGGCCGACTACTACCATTGAAACTTGATTGGCCAATGTTTGACCTGATCACAAATTTATCCATTTTGATGTTCCTACAAATTCAAATATCTCTCATCATCAAAATTCAAATTCATAATAAAACTAAGGAATCACACTTTTAAATTCATAATAAACAAGAGGAATCACACCCCTTCTGTATTCAAGAAAATAAGGGAATCACACCCTTTCAAACATATTAAAATAGAGGAATCACACCCCTTTCAAGTTCAATTAAAATAAAATGAAAACTTACCAGTTTTTCTGCAACTTTTGACAAATGTTAACCAACACCTTGACAAATGCTAAACTGTCTGATTTCCGGTTACTACAATCGAAGTGGGCTGGTAATTCAATATCAATCAAAAATAAAAGGATCAGCTCAAGAAAAGTTATCAAAACAAAACTAAATCAGAAAAAAATCTCCTTCATTCAGTAGTTACAGGAAAAAAAATCCCAAAATCGGAATAAACCTACAAGAAAACTTATTAACTAGTTTAGAAAAAGATTGGACCTTACCTTGGAGGAATTGGAAAATAGCATTGCACAATCAGTCAGAGAGTAAATGGAGACAAGATATCAAGATTAGCTTTAGCTTTTAGAACAAGAGACAAGAACAAGAGACAAGAACAAATCAAAATAGGAACTAGGGTTTTGCTTCTTCTTTTTAACGTGACCTTTTGGGATAAATTGAGATTAGGAATTAGGGAATAATTTTGATGTTTGGGAATTGAGGAACCGTGTGAATTGTCATCTCTGTGTAGAAGGGGATATATGAAACGCTGCGTTACAGCGTTAGAATAAATAGAAAGAGAAAAAAAAAGATTTAAGAAAAGCTGCGTTACAGGCTTACAGAGCTAGAATAAATAGAAAGAGAAAAAAAAAGATTTAAGAAAAACAAATAAAATAACCAAAAAGCCAAGCAGGGATTCGATCCCTTGCCCTTGGGCTTTTAGGAATAAGAAGGCAAAACCAGTGCACCACTTCACCCTTTTTGACCATGGGTGCCATCACATATATATAACTACTTTTTTGCAAATTATGTACATCATATACATATTTTAGCCGAGGGGCCATGGGTTCACGTGAACCACAAATTTCACAGTAAATCCGCCTCTGCTTGGCCACATCTAACTACCATTCAGTTTGGCACTAAAAAGACAAAGGCTGATAGGTTTTTCCTCATGCTACAACAGTGAAGAAGCTCTATCACTTCTAATTCTTAAACCTATTGCACATTTTAGCTGTGCGTAAATCCAGTCTAACTGGGGAATTTAGCCTCCACATACTGCTTGGGACATCAGAAACTGTTTAACCAAAAATGGAATTTCAGTCAAAGCTAAAATTTAGAAGAACTCGAGTTACTGATAATCAAGAAAATATAGAGAAAAAAAATAATTAGGGAGAGTAAAATAATAATCAAGAGAAAATAAATCAATATGTTATTCCCCAATGTTTCGTATCCACAACTGATCGGATATCTCCCTTTTTATAGCTACTTTTGAAGATATCCGTTTTATTTTAATCATAATGAGGCTGTATGAGACATTAAATGTACTAAATGCTCCGTTACACAATCATTACATAAGAAATAAATTCTCTAACGTATTCAGTATTTAATGCCCATCAAATGTCGCATCTGCACTCCTTTATATGGCCAGATTCATTCCTTTTGAATCTCGGATATAAATGGCTTAAATAGGTACGGGCGTTGTGTTTCTTAACTGATGTCCTGTGCCTCTTCATCTTTCTTTGCTCGTATTTGTTGTAACCCCTGTCTCGTGACTAATCATGATTCTTTGACCATTTGACCAATNGCCCTGATTAAAGTTCTTACCAATGATCTTCCTCCAGCGTGATTTCCACAATGCCCCTCATGTATTTCCCTCATTACGTACTCTGTTTGAGAAGGTCTGAGGCATCTAGCTAAGGGGCCACCGAACATTCTACGATAGAGGTTGCTGATTTAAACAGTAGCGAGCAGCCTTTTTGCGAAGTGCATGGGCTTTTTTCTTGTCACCAGGGATGGTTCCACAATGTAAAAAAGCAACAATCTCGTTTCTCCAATACCAAGTTAAATTATTAAAATTTACCTCATTTTTGTCAGGATCAAGAGCTGAATGAAATAGATGAATAACTGAAGCACTTGCATCGCTTGTCACATCAGCTGCAGATGCGAGATTAGCTAAAGCATCTGCTTCGAGATTCTCATCTCTTCGTACCTGCATAACTTTCCAGGTTTGAAATTGCTTTATCAGTTCTCGCACCTTTTCTAAATATTGCTACATCCTGGTTTCCCTGGCTGTATAAGTCCCCAGCATCTGGTTAATCACGAGTTGAGAATCGCTCTTTATTATGTTTTGATTTATGCCCAGTTCTCGAGCTAATTCCAAACCTGCAATCATAACTTCATATTCTGCTTCATTGTTAGTTATTGAATGACATTTAATTGCTTATCGTACAGTTTCACCCGTAGGCGGTACCAAAACAATCCCTAAACCTGCTGCTTTCATATTAGATGAACCATCAGCAAATAAAGTCCAAATTCCTGGATTAGCTCCATTAAGTATCTGTACTTCTTTTTCTGCTTCCAATTGCATCCCTTGGCTAAAATCAGCCACAAAATCAGCTAATACTTGTGATTTTATAGCAGTTCTGGGTTGGTATGTGATTTCATATTCGCTTAACTCTATAGCCCATATAGCCAACCTACCTGATAACTCATGCTTATGTAATATATTTCGTAAAGGATATAGGGTAACTACAACAATTGGATGATACTGAAAATAAGGTCTCAATTTCCTAGATGCCATGATTAATGCAAGAGCAAGATTTTCTAATTGAGGATACATTGTCTCCGCATCTAACAGAGATTTACTAACATAATAGATAGGGGATTGTTTACCTTGTTCTTCTCGAACCAAAACAGCGCTTACCGCTACTTCTGAAACAGCAAGGTAAATGAGTAGTCTTTCCCCAGCCTTCGGTTTTGCAAGCAAAGGTGGATTTGACAAGTATGCTTTCAAATCTCTGAGTGCCTGTTGACATTCTTCATTCCATTCGAAATGATCCTGCTTTTTAAGGGCTGAGAAGAATCTAAAGCATTTCTCTGATGATTTAGAAATAAATCTTTCCAAAGCTGCAATCATCCCTGTTAGTCTTTGAACTTCTTTCTTACTTGAAAGTACATCAATGGCCTTAATCTGTGCAGGATTTACCTCAATACCATGGTTAGAAACAAGAAAACCCAAAAACTTACCTGATGCAACACCAAATGCACATTTTTTGGGGTTTAATTTCATATTAAATTTTCGCAAAATCTTAAAAGTTTCAGACAGATGTGATATATGATCTACTGTATGTTGTGTTTTAACGAGCATATCATCTATATAAACTTCCATGGTCTTTCCCAAATGCTCTTGAAAACTTTTGCTAACTAACCTTTGATACGTTGCTCCTGCATTCTTTAAACCAAAAGGCATTACCTTATAGCAATAAGTCCCCCTGTCTGTTATGAATGATGTTTTTTCCTCATCATCCGGATCCATTTTAATCTGATTATAACCTGAATATGCATCTAAAAAACTTAACAATTTGTGCCCTGCGGTAGCATCAATTAGTTAATCTATATGAGGTAATAGAAAAGAATCTTTAGGACAAGCTTTGTTAAGGTCTGTATAATCTACACAAACTCGCCATTTACCATTCTTTTTAGGTACCACGACAGTGTTAGCTAGCCATTCAGGATACTTTACCTCACGAATAGACCCATTCAT